CTCTCTGAACATGAATAGTGGAATTAAAACAAATTCACCGAGTTTAAACACAAATTAACCAAAACGAACAAATTGACCTACAACACACATGCTATAAACTATTATGTTCTTTAATATACACAAATTAAAAATGCAAAATAAGAAATATTGACATAATTAACCGTGAGCCACAAAATTTCCGCAGGTTTTAATTTTTCCAGCTCTTTGCCCGATACGGAAAAAGAAATTCGGGAAAACGTTACTCCCCTCTAAAGGAAACTCGAAAACAAGTCTCTCCTAATGGCAAAAATTAGATTGCGCATTACACACAGAAAATTCAACCATCCGCAAACTTCCGCGTTAGTGCCACGTGGTAAAAATGTTACATCATATTAAGGGAAGAAAATAGCGTAATAAACAGCAGTTTTATTAGGCATCAAAAAAAGGTCAGGCGGTTTTGAGATTGAATCAGAGTAGCAGAAACTGAAAAACTGTTAGCTACTCACCGAGTATCATTGAAATGAACAATTGTGACAATCATGAATACGAGAATTACATTGAATATTGGAAGGGATATTTTCAATCGAGGGTTAAGGGTTGCCACTCAGCTATCAAGAACCATGTACAAAGATTTCCCAGATCCCGAGTTCCGATATTCTAAATGGTTGCAGAATTCTACAAATCGTTTCATTGGATCGGATGCCATTTTAGTGACGAAACAAACATGAAAACCTAGATTTTTATCAATGTTAATTGACTTCTTACCTTTCCCGCTGCGAGGGCTTCTCCGTGAGCAACAGACGAGAGCCTGAACGTGGAAGACGAAAAGATCGGAACATTAATCGGACTCGGTTCTTCCGCGAGTTTCCACTCACTCTCGACTGCTAAAGACTCAAAACCATTACAAAGCGACTGGTCATCCGCCATTCTTTCCCAGTTCGTGAAGTGGTCTAGAGAACAGAGACAGAAACAGGAGGATTAAACGGTCTGGTGCCTTCGCAACAGAGATATATGATGAGGTAATGAATAAAACATGCCACTCGTGCTTATTTGCGGCCATTTTGAATTTTAAACATACGCGGTTTTTTCGAGGAAGAGAGAACCCTGGGAACGAGATTGCGAGGATCTTCGGAAATCGCTTACTACTGAGTGGTCCCCTCCGGGTGGCCAATACGCTACCCCTTAATGCTCCATTTTTTCCACTAAAATGCTCGGTCTCCCCCCAAAAAGTCACTAAAATGCTCCGTTATGCTCATACTTAAAGTTTTTTAATTTTTTATTCTTTTAACGTTTTGAGACAATTAACAACTCAGG